AAGGAGTATCAGAGCTTCATGTCTGACTTGCTGAATAAAGGCTATGCAGTTCAGGTACCAAACACAATACCCCTGAAAATGAGAGAGTTTGGTACATACCACACCATGGGGTGTACCACCCCCAGAAAAGAAAACTCTTGTGTAGTTTTTGACTGTGCAGCATCCTTTCAAGGGAAATCACTGAACGAAGAACTCTGACAAGGGCCAGACCTAACGAACACACTGATTGGAGTACTAACAAGGTTTAGGTGGGATCACATTGCCTTGATGTCAGACATAGAGGTGTCACCAGGTGCGAGTACCTCCAGAGGACAGGGATCTTTTGCGTTTTCTCTGGTGGCCAAATGGGAACTTGAATGAACCTCTGCAAGAATACTAAATGATGGTGCACTTGTTTGGGGCAACATCCTCCCCAAGCTGTGCAAACTATGCACTAAACAAAGCAGCAGAAGATGCTAAAGAAAAAATGCCACTAGCAGCAGTTAACGCTGTTCTGAACAATTTTTATGTAGATGATTGTCTTCTGTCAGTTTCAGATGAAACAGAGGCATGTACTATGGTCAGGGACCTGACTGCATTGTGTGAGAGTGGAGGATTTCACATAACAAAGTGGATGAGCAACAGCAGAGTTGTCCTTGCTTCCATTCCTGAAAAGGAAAGAGCAAAAGAGATTAAAGATTTGGATTTGAGACATGATGCACTACCAGATGAAAGAGTCTTAGGAGTGAACTGGTGCACAGAGACAGATGTATTCAAGATCAGGATAACTGAAAAACCTGTGCCAAAGACTAGGCGAGGCATCCTGTCATTTGTAAGTGCAATATATGACCCATTGGGCTTTTTGTCTCCTGTCATTCTGACAGCAAAAATCATCCTGCGAGAGCTATGTGGCAGGAAGATCTCATGGGATGAGGAAATCCCAGCTGAACTGGCTCAAAGGTCACAAGTTTGGCATTCAGAGCTTTCAAAACTTCATGGCTTTACCGTCAACAGGTGTTTGAAACCTGCTGGATTTGGAGTGGTCATATCTACACAATTGCACCACTTCGCTGATGGCAGTGAGAGAGGTTGTGGAGACGTTACTTACCTCCGTATCACAAACCAGAAAAGAGAAACTCACTGCTCATTCATTTTTGGCAAGTCCAGAGTGTCCCCTCTGAAGCAGATGACAATTCCACGTCTGGAGTTGACAGCAGCTGCAGTTGCTGTAAAAATGGACAAGCTCACGAGAAAGGAGCTGCAAATGCCACAAGAAGAATCTGTGTTTTGGTCTGACTGTTTTAAAGTACATTTCCAGCGAGAACATCAGATTTAAGACATTTGTAGCAAATAGTGTCACTTATTAGAGACAACACAAAACCAAGTCAGTGGATATATGTGAACTCTGAATTAAACCCTGCTGACCACGCTTCAAGTGGAATGAACACAGACAGAGAATTGACAAAAGATAAGAAAAACTGGCCAATTCCACCGGACATTAAAGAAACACCAAAAAATGATGTTGAACGTCAAAGAGGTGATGAGTGTGGATGTTACAAAATTACATGAAAATCCAGTAAACAAACTGATCTCTCACTATTCAGACTGGTACCGTCTAAAAAAGGCAGTTTCCTGGATACTTATGTTCAAGCAGCTGCTTTGCAGGTTAAGTTGCATCGGAAGCTTCTCATGTCACAAGCAAGTGGCTGTGAAAGCAGCAAAAGGAAATCTGAAAAGGTTGCAGGTCAAATGCAGCAGTTCAAAACATGTATTAAGGGATCTTCACTTACTACTGCAGATGTTGCAAAGGGAGAAACTGAGATTGTTAAGTTTTGTCAAAATCAAAGCTTCACAGAAAAAATTGCAAGTCTTCAAAAAGGTGACAAGCTTAAAAGGAGCAGTCACATTGCGAAGCTGGATCCTTTTGTCCAGGATGGAGTTTTAAGGGTTGGCGGTAGGTTGCATGAGTCTGCACTACCAGCCGATGTTACAGTTTTTTCTGAATGCTTAAACCCTAACTGTGATTCCTGTAGCACAATCTCTAAAACTATTCAGACTTATAGCAAAACCACTCACTGAGTTTGCAAAACTAAAAGCACAAAAACTGCTTTGCACTCAGTTTGCAATTTTGTAACACACACTTTGCAAAACTGTAGGCACAATTCACTGCACAACACTCAATTACCAAATTTCCAACACACTCCTAGCAAAAGTATACACATGTATGGCTATCATTAACACTAATTTGCCAACTGTCTGGCACACTTTCACATGTGAGAACTTTTTTAGATAATTAGTTCACTTTGCAGTCAGCCTAAGCACTATAATACAGGTAAGCTGTGTGTGCGGAGTACAATGGAGGGAGCAGAAAGAGTGAGAAGTAGAGGAGGCCGAGGAAGAGGACGTGGAGGTGAAGAAGTAGGATGAAGAGGACGACAAGGACAAGGAGGAGCAAGAGGAGGACGAGGAGGGGGAGAGGAAGGGTAGGAAGAGTAAGAAATAGAATTGCTGATGACATCAGAGCTACAATAGTGGACCATGTAATCAACCGTGGAATGACCCTGAGGGAAACTGGCCAACGGGTCCAGCCTAACTCGAGCCGCTACACTGTAGCAAGCACCATAGGGACATCTTGAAATGAGAATCGGTGAGTACAGTCACTTCGCACAAAGATTTGTAGCACTGCCATATGCCAATGAGAAACACACCAATACCATTGATGTAAAAATACTGAAATTGTTACTTTACAGAATTGCTAGATGACCAGATGCTGGGGGCAGAGGAAGCATGTTCACTGCAGACCAAGTAACCCATATAGTCATTATGGCGACTGCAAATAATCCTATACTTGAAAATAAACACTTGTGTTTGTTTTGATGTGTTTGAATAAACACCAGTACTTGAAGTTTGGATCCCTCTATGCTTATGGATCTATGACAGAAGTATGAGCTCAAACTGACATAGCCTACCTTGTGCACAGAGGAAGCAAAAGCCAGATGTGTTTTGTATTCATACCATCAGTGTGCAGTTGGTGCATTGTGTGCTTATTAATATGATGGCTTGTGTTAACTGTTGGATACGAAAATACCATTTTTACAAAGGTGTGGAGAGTTAAGCAAGGGTTATTCTCTTTTACAAGAAAACTACAATGTTTTGCTGATTGGGTGACAGGTTTTCTTATTTGTGTGAAGAGTTTTGCAAAATTAGCCACTAGTTACAAAAAATGTGCTTAAGCAATCAGAAAAAACTGTAAGCATCCAGTGATTCTCCCTAAAGGTCATCATGTTTCTACTTTGATTCTGAGACACATTCACAAAGAAACAGGTCATGGAGGAAGGAATTACACATTATCCAGGCTGAGATTCAGCAATAAGAAAGATCCTGTCAAAGTGTGTAACATGTAGAAGGACATCTCCGAAACCTGGTGAACAAAGAATGGCAAACTTGCCACAAGATCGCCTGATTCCTGACAAACCTCCATTCGCAAAGTGGGCATAGACTATTTTGGACCTTTTGAGGTCAAGCATGGGCGCAGCAGAGTTAAGCAATATGGTGTATTGTTTACATGTCTTGCTGTTAGAGCAATACACATAGAAGTTGCCCACTCACTTGAGACTGATTCTTGCATAAATGCATTCAGGAGGTTTATTGCAAGACGAGGTCAAGTGTCTGTCATGAGATCAGACAATGGCACTAACCTTGTGGGTGCAGAAAAGGAAATGCGTGAAGCAATCAAGGGATGGAATCATTCAAAAATCTCAGAAATGCTCATGGAAAAGGGCATCACCTGGATATTTAACCCCCCAGCAGGGCCACATTTTTGGAGGAATCTGGGAGAGGCAAATTCGCTCAGTTAGGAGAATTCTTAACCAGATCCTAAAGCAGCAACCTCTGGATGATGTATGTTTGCGGACATTGCTATGTGAAATTGAAGCATTTGTCAACGGCAGGCCAATAACAAGAGCGGCTAATGACCCCAATGATTTAGACGCACTTACACCCAATCATCTACTTCTTCTTAAAGGGCAGCCAATACTGCCACCTGGATTGTTTCAAAGAGAGGACTTGTATGCAAAAAAGAAAAGGTGGAGACAGGTGCAGTACCTGTCAGACATTTTTTGGAAGCATTGGACTAAAGAGTATTTGCCGCTTCTACAAGAAAGACAGAAGTGGTTAGTGACTAGGAGAAATCTGAGACCAGGAGATGTTGTTCTTATAGTTGATGACAGTGCACCAAGAGGTTCCTGGTTAATGGGAAAGGTTGAGAGATCAGTTCCAGACTCACATGGACTTGTCAGACGTGTTTGTCAAAACCAAAACTAGCGTTTTGGAGGGGCCTATCGACAAGTTATGTTAATTGCTTGAAATGGAGGCAACAGTTTGAATCTCAGCCTCATGTGTAACAGATTTATGTTCAACACATATGACTTATGTTTCATATAATGTTTGGTTAAGCCAGTTAGATTATGAGTGTTAATATTAAATGATGCTTTATTGTGTTAATATGTAATTGTTATGCCTTAGCAGTAAGAATTAGGGGCCGGAATGTTAGCGCCATTTATAGTTATTACATGTTTTATTTTGAAAAGCCTGAAAAGGATATGATGCTTTTTTTGTGAAAAGTTTGTGAGAAATAAAACAAGCGAATGGCGGAGCGACACGATGGTTTTACCGTCGTTGTTGCACAAACCGACACGTAAAACAGCCTCTTGTCCATCCAGACTCTTATTTTAGATATAAGAGAAATAGAGAACTCCAAGAAGAAGCAAAGATAGCCATTACAATCAGTATTAACAATCATTATGTGATCAGCAGCTCTTCACAGACACTGGGTCAGTTCATCCGCCAGCACATTTAACACACATAAAGCAGCAAGGCAGCAGTTCTCTATAAAATTTTCACAATACTTGATTGCACAACGTCATCAAAGAGCAGATTAGTGGAAGCTGAAGAGGTTCAGTAATTTACACTGACATCACATTAACACAAAAACGGTAAAAATAAAACATCTGAAGATCACATTCACAAATATTTCAATTCAGTTTATTTAAAGTCCCCACACCACATTTTCAGTTTCCGATTTATTTTGCTGTGATTGCCATTCAAACATTCATTTAAAGAAATCTCACGAAAACTCTTTTTTTCAATCAAGAAATTTAAACAACTCTGTAATTTTATTCTTAAGAAATGAGATCAAATGAATGGCTTGGAGTTCTTAAGTCCTGTACAGGACCTACAGGACTCGTGTCCACTTTGCTTCCTGCACAGACTCACTCGAAACCTGAACTTAATGAACATACAATAAAAAAACGTTCATGGGTATTCACGGTTACGGTCTGGACTTGGTTTCTGGTACAATGCTGCCAAAAACAATCATCTACACATGATTTACTGGTGATTTTGAACTTATTGCTTAATACCATTTATCCTAAATAAAGCCCTTGCTAGGCCTGATGTGATTGGTGATTGCTAACATACAAGCACTAAGGCAATGTTAAGACTGCATTAAAGATCAGTTTTAAGAGTGTAATCTGAAATTAGTTCCAGCCTAGAATTCATAGGCTCTGTAAGCCTTTGCGGATAAAAACATTTTGTGTTATAACTTTGTGTTTTAATCAAATGCACAATGACCATCTATCTTAGCACCCGGATAAACTTGTACTGAATTTCTTTTGTTGTCCAAGTAGTATCAAATTCTCTCTTAAAAATGATAGTTAAAAAAAAAAGAACAACAACATCCATCAGTTGATGCTTTGGGTGAAGTGTTCTCCAGAGTACTGGCCATAGTGCACAATATCCCTCTGGGCTGCAGCCCACGACATGTAGTTGCTGCTGAAGCGGGCAGCCCAGTGGCCCTGAGGATCCACTGTCACTACCCCGCCTAGCCCCCCAAGTCTGGACTGCATGCAGGCCAGGCCCAAGTCACTGGCATCTTCTACCGACCGACCTGACAAAAGAGGAGACACAAGAAACAGCACTTTAACTCTTTTTGTTTTAATTGAACAGTCTGGAGAGAGGCTCATTGTTACAGTTAGCATTTGTGCTAAAGTCAAAACTTGGTTACAGGAAGAAAACAAGAAGAGCTTTACTGGGATAATTGGTATACTGCTACAGTGAAGGACAAATCAAGGAAAAACAAACAAAAACCTAGGTCCAAATAGCTTCCAGGACCCCAGAAACAGTGCATGCAAGTCCCATGGGTAAAAAGGCTTAGTCGCGGCTCCTCTGAGGAGTTTTAGTTTTTTTCTGGATGTAAATAAATCAAATATGAGAGTTGAAGCTGTGTGTGGCAAAGTGTTACCAACTTCGCAGCTGGTTCTCAACCCCCTCAGCCACAGTGGCTCAGATTTGTGTGTGTGTGTACATGTTTAGACATCTTTGTGAGGACAGAAAATTGGCATGCTACTATACTTTTAGGGACCAACAGTCACTCACGGGGACAAGATGCCCATCCCCACAAGTCTGAAGGCATTTTTTAAGCTCAAAGTGTGGTTTTAGTGTCTGGGTTACAACTAGGTTATGGTTAGGCATTCATTTTTGATGGTTAGGGTCAGGGTAAGCGCTGGGGAAAGCATTATGTCAATGAGATGTATTTACTAAGATATGAAAACAAGTGAGTGTGTGTGTGTGTGTGTGTGTGTGTGTGTGTGTGTGTGTGTGTGTGTGTGTGTGTGTGTGTGTTTTACCTTGCTCCATGTGGAACAGGATGAGTCTGGCCAGTGTAATCTTCATGATGGTCTCACCGTGGCCTGTGGTGGACACTGCTCCTGACTGGTTGTCAGCATACCCTCCAGACCCTGACAAAGACAAAATATTTCAGCCATCCTGCACAGCTTACTGAGCTGTTCTCTGGATCTTCCTGCAGCTATAAGCAGGTTTGGAAGCTTCATGAAAACACTAGCAACACCCAGAGGCAGCCCTGGGAGAACAGATTTTAGCCGTGTCTTTAATGATAAAACTGACAGATGGCTAATGCTGCTGTTGTGTAGTCACAATTCTAATAATTGAACGGCTAATGTTATTATGTGCACCAGCCGAGCATCATAAAATTTATGATGACTGTTTAATATTTTGATGTTGTGAAACAGGAGCTTTACTGACCTCCCAAAATGCCTTATAAGGACCAGGGAGGTGTGTTCTGCTGCTAGTGAGAGGCGGGGGATATGAACGTTGTGTGAAGCAGCTAGAGAAGGTGCAGATGGCATTGCTTGTATCAACACTATTGCAGATGTAACATACAGTATATGGCACAACCTTACTTACATTCATTTGAGTCTGATCTCCCCACTGAGTTTGCAGTTTTGGTGCCTTTTGGAACATTTGAATGTAATATTTTGGCAAATATTATGGCCGTTTGTGCAACATTGTCGCAGTTGAAACACTAAATACATTGAGCAAGCCACTTGGGTGACACATGGGTGTCAGACTGAATACATCTGTCTTTTATATACAGTCTATCTACATGCCACCTTGTATGTTCTTGAAACAGCATTTGGACATTTAATACTGTCAATAAAGAGGCTCTGCTATGAAATGTTGAAAATGTTGTTATTAAAAACATTTTTTGAAGTCTCACCTGCACATGGATGCAGTTACACATTTATTTCACTAGATGGAAGACTAAGGCTTTCCCTTAAATTTGCTTGAACTGAACCACAGCAGGCAGCAACACTGTTGTGATTCAGACTTTTGGTTGTTGTAATCCATTGATTGAAATAAGTTCCAGTTCCTTTTGCAAAGCAGCCCACTGCTTTAAAACTTTGATTCTGCACATTTGTCTCTTTAATTAATGTTCTGCATTAGTTTTGGACATTTTGCCCAAGTTTTGCAGACAGTCTTTTTTTTTTTTTTTTTTTTAATTCAAGCATTTGTTTCAAAAAAATACTCCTGTCACTCATTTATCGATAGTGACAGATTAGATGGGATTGACACAACTACCAAAAGCAAGTTGCTGCCGTTTACCAAACTAGACTAGGATTTAGCCACTGATATCACAGCATACACCTATGTTTAAATACAATTTAGGTCAGAAGTTTTTTTCCTGCTGCTGTCTAACAAAACATTCTTAGGTAACCTAGAATTGAATCAAATATTAACCATACTCCCATTGTTCACTAAATAACTATTCATTTAAGACTGGCTAAAGGTTAAAAGCTCAGCGAAGACACAAAAACGATTACAACTGCATGTAAATAATTACCAGGCATGTGTGAACTGACCTATGATGGGGGTGTCACCCACCCGACCTTCCATCTTGTTCAGCATCCCACCAGTGGAAGTTGCACAGGCTAAGTTGCCCTCTAAGTCAACTGCTACTGCACCAACTGTGCCTGCCTTCCCCCTACAAAAGAGAGCAGAGCAGCAGAACATATCTGAGAGCTCTAGTTCTATTTTGTTCTGTTTTGCTTTTTCCTCTCCGTGTGTCAAATACACTCAGCGGCCACTTCATTAGGTACTCTTGTTTAACTGCTCAACACCAACGTCTATGCAGTTTTCTACAGACTGGTAAAAAGGACTGGAAAAGCTCTGCTTCTCTAAGATGTTTGTTTTTTAAATACCCAATCATTTTGCTGACCCGCTGTTAATTTACCCAATTAGTTGCCAAATATTCCTTTTCAGTCTTTTTTTTAAATTCAAAGTGAGATAACATCTTTCTGGGTTTGTGTAAGTCCTGCAAAGACTCGCTTCCTCCCTTTATCTACACTAAGAGACGTGAGTGAAGGAAGTCAGAGTCCACATTATGCAACACAGTGAGCTTATGGATCAGTGCGTGCACGGCAGAGATGTCTATTGATCGGTTACATACTAAAAGGGGTCATTTCATTTCATATTACTTTAAAAAATGAAAATAAATAATGCTAGCAAGCTTAAAACTGTTGTGTCTCACATTTGGCACTCCACAGGGTTGGCATCAGGTGCAAGGTTCTTCCTCCAGCGCATGCGGGAATACTCAGTGATGAGGGACTCCTGGGGGACCTCCTCAATCCCCATGGATCGAGCAAACTGATTAGCACCTTCGGCTGTCAGATACGCGTGACTGGTCTGAAGCAAAGATCAAAGTTCACACTGTAAAAAGTTACAGAGCACATTTGAAATACTGTGCTTCGTCCAGACTATACTAACGGTTTCAGTTCAAGCATATAGAATTTTGTTCTTATCAGAAGAAGGAATCATAGCTACAGCTGTAAACAGGCTGTAATCAGCACCTTTAGCTACATTGATAGATAAAGGTGCTGATGAAGGGAGAAAGGTCCTGTAGGTGTCCATTATGTATTTTCAGATAAAAATCCACAGCGGTCTCCACACATGCATGATTCCACACAGTTCCTGCAGTTCAGTCAGGAGAAACATGCATACCTTGTCCATAACAAGTCTTGCTAGCTGGATGGGGTTAGCTATGTTGCGTACTGCGGACACTGCTCCGCTTGCCAGTGTTTTGCCATCCATCACGATAGCATCCATCTCCACCTCTCCTTTGATGTTCAGCACTGACCCACAGCCTAAAATATGAATTGAGAAATGATGCAGCTCCAAGAATCTTTAGTGTCCTGCAGTGACATATGGCCTGTTGGTGTCTCTTAGGTGATCAGAGCTACACGCAGCAGGTTTACTCAACAGCTAAACTGTTTGTTTCTTCTCATCCCAACAAATTCTTATTGACTGCTTTACTTTCACAAAAGAGATACCACAACATCAGTGAAATATATAAAATCAAATAAGAAAAATTTGTGTGGTATATTGGTCATATTTTTTTGTGCAGTGTTTTTTTTAACCAATTGAATTTGATTCCTTGTGCAACCCAATATTTAAAATTTTCTTACACCATCTCAGTGTCCAAAAAAACAAAAAAGGTAATATATTCATTTCTCTCTGTTCATAGTGTCATTCATTCATTCATATACATACACATATATATATTCATATACATACATATATATAGTAAGTGAAAATATTTAATAAAATTCTGAGTTTCTCCATTACCTGCATTGAAGGCAGGGTTATTCTCCATCTGGCTCACAGCCTCCACCACAGCATCCATGCTGCTGCCCCCTCCCTTGAGGATAGCGTACCCTGTCCGCACTGCTGCACAAACCCCTGAAATGGACAGTTCCATCCGCTCCTTTGGGACAAACCCTGCCCCTCCATGCACCACCACCACTGGCAAGAGGTCAGTCATCTGGCAAGAAGTGTCACTCAAATAATATCTGGTGAATTTTTCAGCATAAACAGATATTTTTAACGCACACACGTACACAAACACACAAACACACACACGGGTTATGTTAAGCAACAGGTATTGTTACGACCCGGCTCTGCTAGGCGACAGCGGATGTAACATAAATGAGAGGGACAGTCTACACAGTCTGTTCGAATCAACAAGTCCCTCCACGAATGAAGAATCCACAGCCTTTTATTTTCTCAGGTAATTGCAGGCAGCTGTGTCATTGGTCTGTCGTACTCAAGGCTCCTGCAGCAGCCAATGGTGTGAGTGGTCTGACACGCTCTGATCTGCATGAAGTTGGGGCGAGTATAGGTCCGGGCCAGCCAATCCCCTGTGAGGCCTGGAGCACTTTGATTTCCATAGAGGAAGGCGGGGCCTCCTGAGGCCAGAGGCCGTAACAGTATAAAAAGGCCAACCTGTCTTTTTTACAAAAAATAAGACTTCAGCACTGCTTAACAGATGATAAAAAAGCACAAATATTCTGGACTTCTGTTAAGAAACAAACAAAGAAATAAACAAAACAAAAAATTTCCAGAAATTCAGAAACATTATCTCCAACTGGTAAATCATTTGCATGTTTTGGTCAAGAGCTTCTCTTTAACAGCGAGGTTGTCTTCTTGTTTTGTTTTGTTTTTTATGCCAGCATATGCCAGTTCTATGGGAATCCCCCATTTTGGTGCAAAAATAGGATTTTAAGCCTGTCAAACTCAGCTTTCATTGCAGAGTCAACTAAATTGTGTGTGTGTGTGTGTGTCATAACCGCATTAACACGGCAACTCTCCGTTAGCAAGTTAGCTCAAGTTAGCCCCACAGAGTGCAGCCCCTGTGCGTGGGGCTGGACAGCGTCAACACATTAACGAGCAAACTGCGCTAACGCACTAGTTCCCACCCATGTAATTGAGCATTGCATGGCACATCCAACATACTGTTTTACTTTTGTCCATGACGCGCTTACCTTCAGGATCATATGTCACATGAAAACCAAAATAGTTCCAAACGCCAGATCTGAATGAGGGTGGGGGAGGTTCAATTTGCTATGTTGCAAGGAGAGCTTAACTTCTGTCTGTCTCCCTGCACTCAGTGAATCTGCGCTCGACTACTCCGCCTAGGCTGCACTGTCGAGCGCAGATCCACTGAGCGCTCAACACAGACAGCATCGTCAGAAGGAAAGTTGATAAAATAAATTAAAAATTTTGAATTGTTCGATACATATGCGTACCGAACCGAAAGCACTGTATCGAACGGTTCAATATCGATACGAGTATCGTTGCACCCCTACTATTTACACGACTCCGTAATAGTGATGTGCTTTACCATTGATTTCCTTTCCGATCTGATACCAAGTAATATTCAGGGTGGTATCGACGATACTGATCCGATACCGATACTTTGTACAAAAACTTATTTTATTTATTGTATCTCAAATTATAGCATCATAATGATTACAGGACATCAGATTACTTGTTCTTATTACTTAATAATGCAGGGTTCATCATATAGAAATAAAAAATCTGAAGTTCTGCCTATTTGAACACTTTGCCTGCCTGCAGCACTAAAGGACTCCATGAGAGACGTCTGTCTTGCCCTAGCAGCACCTGTCCCTCTTCTCCTCTTCAGTTCGCCTCAACATACGCTCGTCATATTCTGTGATATGATTTACTCTGAGGTGTTTGACAAGGTTAGTGGTGTATCCACAACCATACATGCCAGCCCTCCAGATTTTTCTGGGAGAATCCCGGAGGCACGATTCTCCCGAATTTCTCCAGATTTTCCACCCGGACAACAAAATTGAAAAACCATATCGCAGAATTCATAGTGCGGCCCAACCAATTCCAGTTTCCAGCAATGACGGCAGCGACTTAGTTTTAATATTACTCTTATTTCTCTTTCTGGGTCGCAAAAAAAACTTTTAACATATTTTCAGGTGAGAATGTAGCTGTGTAAACTTCAAATATCTGAGCCGACCGACACATCGTCTTCAAACCCCCGCGGTCTTTTGCTACTCGGGTTAAACAGGATATATAAGTCACTTTGATAACTTAAAAATGTTATTGTTTGGCTTTTTCAGTGTTTTATTTGTTTGTGATTAAATCGGTTTGGCGGAGATTAAAGTTATTAGATTAGATTAAATTTAACTTTATTAATCCCTCAGGAGGGTTCCTCCGGGGTTTTCACACAGCTGAATAAACATCAAACAGAAAATGATTAAACAGAAGAGTTTACGCCAGCACCCGGTTATATTTTAGATAGCAAGGAGCAGACGACAGAGTTTCTCTCCACCGAGGGAGCCTGTGATGCACTACCCGGCTTTCTTTAGACTGCAAAGGCCGGGTCCTCAGGTGGAAGCAGCCTCTGAATTTTGACCCCCCCCCCAAACAGGTCTTTTGAATGTCACCCTAGTATGGCCACAACACCTCACTCTTGGAGCACTTTTTTGCCACATGTGTCGCAAACCACGGCTGTGTCCCAATTCAGGGTCGGCACGCTTGAAGTACGCGCACTATGTTTACTACGTACGGTGCGTACTATAAGTACGAGAAATGCGGAAGTGAGAGGCTTGTGAAATGAGACGGTCTAGCCTTCGTCATGCTGTTCAAGTTGCCTAGCAACCATGATACTAACCGCGAGAAATGTTACATACAGCATTGTTTGACAGAAATGAAGGAGAAAAAAATGTTTTGTTGGTCATTCATTTTTGTCATGACATCACTGTGATTAGTTGAGTATCTGAGGCTGAGACCACGGGACTGTAAAACATGATTGTTGGGCTTCATTTCTGCACTGAACAGTCATTTCAAGATTAGTTAGTAAATAACAATTAGCTAATGTTGTTCATGAGACTAAAATCATCTCACTGTGGTAATGTAAATACTGTATAATATGGACAATATTATATATATTGTCAGATTATTATGATATATATTACAGCAGTGAGCTTGAACTCTAGGTCAAAGATTCAAGTTGCATTTATTTATATTTCCTATCACCTTAAATCTTCACTCAAAGACAAGTATCTTTGACAGTGTGTATATAGATGTATTATATATGAGACAAATATTGTTCTTTTAATATGTTGGCATTACTACATTTGGCTCAATGCTTACATATATGTGTAAAAACAAAATGTACGAGCTGTGATAACTGTTTCTGATAGAATGAAGAGTAGACTGATGTATTAAATATTCCTTTATTGGGTGAGAAAATCAGACCATGTCATAACTGCTTTAGGTCATACAGAATAGATATCAGAGCCTTAAACAGGCTGACTTCTGCTAAATGGGTCAAACTGGGCAGAGTAGAGGCTTTAAAACCAAGTTAACGCTGACGTAGTACAAACATCACTAATGTCCAGTGTTGGGGAGTAACGGAATACATGTACCGCCGTTACGTATTTAAAATACAAAATATGAGTAACTGTATTCCGTTACAGTTACCGTTTAAAAAGGTGGTATTCAGAATACAGTTACTTTGTTGAAATAAATGGATTACACGGCGGTATTTTCCTGTTTCATATTGTGGCGGGTCAGGACTGTTTGGGTTTTGTTTGACAGCTATGTTCTGTTGTTCCAGGCGGCAGCGTTACGGTTGCCATGGTGACGCGTTCTCTCTGCGACTGTGTGTTTCCTGGGTGAGAGAGCGCTTTTTTGTTGTTGTTGTTGTTGTGCTAAGCTAATAAGCCTAAAGAATGTAGCCTTATGGCAGTGTAGTCCGTGCTGCAGGGAGAATGGACTGCCATACCTGTTATGTGTCCGTGAGCGTGAGGAGGGAGGAAAATGTGAGTGGAAAAGTACGAGCTGTGACCGGGCAGAAACAATAATAACCACTGCAGCCAAGAAGAGTGCCTGACGAGCCCAGTTGTAAGTAAGCTATTAAGACTCGACTGTACACTGTGTTCATGTTTTCCTCCGAAACAATAAGTTCCGTTGGAGCAGCCTTTCAACACCTCTCTCTGTCTCTATTTTTTGGCTATGAGCCCGACACGGAACCGACGTATTAGCCAGAGGTCCCTTTACTACGGTTCGGAGCCGAGGACCTTCAGTAATAGTAATGAATCACACAGCAACAGTACATTCATGCAGTTGTAAAAAGCATGATAATATATTAAGTAATCCAAAGTATTCAGAATACGTTACTCTCATTGAGTAACGTAACTGAATACATTTTGGGGCATGTATTCTGTAATCTTTAGTGGAATACATTTTAAAAGTAACCTTCCCAACACTGCTAATGTCACATAACTTTGCGGACATGTGGCCAACAGTAATGTTTTAATGTTCTTCATTATTAAAGATTCGCACATAAGTGACATCATATTCAGTACTTACTTTTGACAGTTCAATCTTCGGCCGCTCCCTTCTGCCTTCTGCCGTATTTTGCAGCAAAATTATCCACACCCACCGCTGCGCTATGGATTGTGGGATATATGGGACCACGAAGCGTGCACCGGACATTGGTCGTGTCCAAAGTCATGGGTTGCATCCTCCTGAGGCCGCATTTGTAGACCGATTATGTCACAGCGACGCGCCGAAGGCTGTCCAAATTCGTAGACTCCTCCGAATGCAGCCGACAAATGACTCCTTTTCCCCGAATTTGAAGGATGGGTCGGGTGTGTCCTTCGTGTCTTACCATATCCCAGAATTCATAGCCAAACTCCAGTTTCCAATAATGGCGGCCGCTACTAAGTTTTAAAATTACTCTTACTAATCTTTCTAGGTCACAAAATAAACTTTTAACATATTTTCAGGCGAGAAACTAGCTGTGTAAACATCAAATATCTGCTAGGTTTATCAAGATATCGCATATTTGCAAAAGTGCTTCGACGTTTTCGGAGCATCAGCTACCCACCAGCTCGATAGCAAGCCGGGAGCTCGAGGGTCACTGAAGCCACCGAAAACGGCACAACATTTTCAGATCACGCGGAGTTTCGCTACTCAGGTTAAACGTAATATATAAGTCACTTAGACAACCTAAAAATGTTATTGT